CACTCTCTCTGGTCACTTTTACCAATTCACATGCGATAGTAAGTTTTGCATTGCATAAATTTGAGTGTAAAAATAAAAAATGAAAAAATGGTGATAATAATCTTTGTTAATAATAACAGAATAAAATTAATAGTTTTTGCAAAGAATATTAGCTATTGTTGTGGGAAGTAGGCATTCAATTTGACGATCTTTTTGTTTTCGCTTTATTTGCAAATTATTTTTAATTTTATGAGATGTAATTAATGAACAACAAGTATGCCATTGTGTTTTGAATTGAATACTCTCAAATTGAAGTCAAATTATCGCATGAAAATCCGCAAAATTTATAAAGTAATATACAAACTATTAGGATAATATTCGATTTTATAATACACTGTGAAAATTGTGATTATTCGCGGCAAATGAAATTCTTTGCAAGATAAATTGTAATGAAATTGAAAAATAATACAGTAAGTCTTAAAAAACCGTTGAAGTAACTTCTTAATTGAATTATATTATTTGACCTTTTGAAAAAGTCGAAATTAGGATAGAAATTGTAAATACAGCTTCATAAAATTTAAAATGTTCAGCCTGAAATAATTCATTTTTTTCAATTATAATATCAAAGACACAAATAAAATGATAGCTTTGGGACTGTTCTTATCATCCTTATCAGTCAATTGCTTGTTATCATTCAGATATACACAATACAGAACTACGATATTCATTTAAAGGATAGCAGTTTCAATTTAATAATATGATGTTGTTAATTAAATTACTTTCAATAGACTTTTATAAATTCTTAGCAGTGTTACTAGTATTAGCGGAGTATTATATTTTTATAATTAATTAGAAAGGATATTAGTTTATAATTTATAATTATGCATTAATTTATTGTATTTATAAATTTCTTCAAATATTTTCTCCAATTAGTATTATTGTTAACATGTACAAATTTATTTTTCACTGCTTTCAGAAGAAATATTTGCGTTTAGGACTACATCAGAGATATTTTTTCTTTCTGATATTATCAGAAATACTTTTTTGAAAGTTTAGTCAGTTTCGTCGTAAGTACTGATCATTTACTGATATGATCAAGTTGTTATCGATTTTATCATATGCATTACTGATCAAATCAGAATAATTTGATGTGATCAAAGTTTTACTGACTTTAATTAATATACGCATTCGTATAATCAAAAGCTCTTCTATTTCACTCAAATGATAGATATTTTGCTGACATAATCTATTATTTATGATAAAAGATCTTCGCCAGTACTGCATAATTTTGGATGAAAGGTAGAAGGATATGCGATGAAGACAAATGCTCTATCTTTATCTCAGTAGTGAAACTATTTTTCTAAAATTCTTTAAATCTGAGTGCTTTTGTTATCATTTATTTTGCTACCTTCCCAATATGCAAATTTTGGGTGTCTTTATGAGTAAGTATGGAAGCGGCTCAAAAGACACTTACATATATGCACACATATAACTAAAACGTGTATGTTTACTTTTTGGCTTATAAATTGTACGTATACATTCACGTGTATGATTTTGGCTTTTCTGTGGAGAAAAGTCTTTACTTTTCTGTGTGAAAAAGACTAAGAGCATTGGTTGTATGGGTTTGCTTCTAATTTTATAGCATATTTCATTTCTAGGTTTCTAATTATACTTAAGGGCTCTTATTATATGAAAATATGTTCTGTTCAGCTTTCCAAAATGTCTTCAGAATTATACTTAAAAGAAGTGTGCAGCGTAATACGTGAAATCATTATTATTTGCTTATACAAGTTTAGCATTGTATAACTCAGAAAATATTTTTACGATTTTAGAAATATTAATATAACACTGAAACTTATTCTGATCATATTACGTTGCTAAAAAATGTAATATGAAACTGATTAATCATTCAGTCGTAATTGTAGTAATCAAAGGTCAGTTATTTATCTCATCTTAATCTCTGAAATTAAAGTTATTAAATTTTGGATGATCAGTGGGCTTGCAATGGTAATAAAATCGTAGCGGAAATCTTGTCTTGTTTTCATGTTTTTTACATTTTTTTCTCAAAATTTATTGTAAGCATAAAGTCAAGTGACCTTATCAATTGACGTAACACTTCAGATTTCATTTTTTCTTTGACCTTTTTATTATTTATAGAAAAATATCTTTTAAATAATAGAATAGATGACCTTTCAGCGCAAATATATGAGTTCAAAGTAATTTAATTGAGTGATTTAAATCACTCATAGACGTCTCAAGTAATTACACGTTTTTAGCTCTATAATTTAACATCACTTAAAATCATTCAAATATGCAAAGGTCGATTTAATTTGCGTATTTCTGCATATATGATTTAATACGAACTATTGCCTTCTCCAGTTGTTATCACTGATTACTTTCTGTATTTTCTTAGATCAGTTTTGTTGTTTGATATCAGTTATGAATCATTTTTTATATAAATAATTGTTGTTATCTGAAAAATATGCTAGCAATACTTTCAAGTACTTTTGTGGCAAAAAAACCAATTGCGAATTATTTGTACAAAAAAATTAATCTGAATTAGCTCAAGTATTATTACTTATTAGTATTATTTATCATTTTAACTGTATTTGTATATTATATTATATTATATCATTACTTGTTAATTTATTATTACTGCCTACTGTTACTTTAATAACATTATTACTAATTGTTATCTCCTCGCTATCATTATTTATTCACTTATTTCTTCGTCACCTTTTATCATTATTATTCGGTTTCTGTGTTATTACCGTTGTTGCTTAATATATAGAGAGATTGCTCAATATAAAAAAAATTATAAACAAGTTTTTAATTGTTTGTTTACTTGCTTAAAATAGTAATAATGGCGTGCATATAATATAATACTATAATTTTTCGTTGCATAAATTGAAATTCAATCTAAGTAAATTATTAAAATGATAAGCAGTATCGTTACTGATAATAATGTTGTGGTGGATAATTATGGTCACTTTGTGATGGATATTTATTTTGTTGATCAGTATTGATTAGGAATTAAAATTAGAAGAATAATCGATTGTATAGAAATTGCAACATTTTGAATTGTGATATGATGGGATCAGTGATTTCTTTTGCTAAAATGATTCGTTAATAATTAAATTGAACTGAATTAATTGCAAAATATAAACATTTCCATTAATATTGAAATTTTTAACCATTTCAGGAATTCGTTAATTCCATTCTCGTTCATTTAATTACATATTACTAATTATATAAACTAAATTCCTCCTCACTTTTTTGCCCAAATTCCTTCTACATTTTTTGCGATATTAAAGCGGTGGAATTTCTCAAAAATTCTTCGCAAATTCTGATCGTTTGAGGAGTATATACTCACTTCGTATCGAATTTTATTCAATAAACTTAATTTATTTATGAGGTTTTATCCATTATGCAATCAAACGTTATTTATTGATTTCTATTTAATTAAAAAGAATATTTAAATATTTTCATGTGTCAATAGTTTTAAGTATGCTCAATCCTAATATCTGAATCTGTATTTAATCATATAATCTAAAATTATAGGTAATTAAGTTGTCCTCTGCACATTTCAGTGAATGCTAGCTATAAATAAATCTAAGCTCAAACTAATAATAAATGTAACTATTACTCTGTGAGGTACTCAGCCATTACTCCATGTCATTACTTTTAATTATTAATTACTAATTTTCTCATTAGTATGCAGGGATATTGGTCAGATTTGTGCAAGATGTCGTGGTTTGCAGATAATATATATATATTTGCTTGGAAACTTGAATTATAATAATTATTCATTCTAATAGTGTTTCGTTAGTAGTTCTTAATTGATTGATTCAGAATTTACAACTCATTCAGAACAAATAAAGCTATATGTAAAAACTTAATTGCTTTGTTATGTGGGAATAGTGATAGGAAAACGACAGTTGTTCGTTCATCTCTCATACTGTTAGAGTGATTAGTTTGGAGCACAAAATGCAAATTAAATACTTTAAACTTTCGAAAGACAGACCGATTAATTTAATTAGTTAGTCTTGACTACTAAGTAAGTAAGCTAGTAAGTAAGTAAGTAAATAAGTAAGAAGTTAGTTAATGTACAACTTAGGTATGCACAACACAACTGCTCATTTCAGCTTGCTAGCTGTGCTTAACTAAGCAGTTGCAATATTAACTGTAAAAATTTTTTTCAATGTTTTTGCATACTGTCAGGTTGAAAATAAAAATTTATCTCATTTTCTCAACACCAATTTTGGTTTTAATAAATATACATCTCATGTAATTTTTTACATCAGATTTTTCTGAGAACTTTTCGCGCGCGAATTATTCAAAAAAGTTTCAAATTTTCCATTTGATAAATTGAAAACTACAAAATCGTAAACAACAATTATAAGCATTTATTTAATAAGTTTTATTGTTGCTACTAAATTTACTCAAAAATACCGCTTGTAAATAAAAAATAATGATCGATATAAAAAAAAAAAGAAACTAAAAATAATCACTGTTGCTACGAAACAGTAATTGATGACTTACAGTAATTTTTAATAACTTTCTTTTTTTGACTAAAGAAGGAAATGATGGGAAGTTCTGATGTAATATTTTTTCCAATGAATCAGACAACTTATCTGTGATAACTTTTAACGAGAACTGAGTACAAGGGATAGACAAATTTGCTATAATTTATTATAATTTATTGATTACATTTGTTAATACCAATTTATTTATTTTTGTTGCTGAATGCAAATTAACTCAATATTTTTACTTTCTTTCACATTCCTTGAGAAAATGAACCTATTTATTGATTGATTAGTTTATTATCATTGAAATGCAATTTGAATAATTCGTTTATCTTAATTTTTTGATATGTTTTATAAAATTACAAATCAATTTTCGTTTCTTGTGTATTTCACAATTTGCGTCATTTCAGTTATACGCGAAATTATTTTGATATTTTATTTTTCACTACTTACGTTATTTTGAATAGCATTTAAAAAATAGAAAGACTTGCAGTTTATAAATTCGACACGGCATCCACGTGGCGTAAACGTCGCGGTGGTGGCGTAGCAGCCACATCTACTCCAGCCACTGTGCAGCCAGCATCGGTTCCTTCTACGTCTTATCAACAACAGGTGTAAATTTTTCTTTTCAAAACAATTCTGTCTGTTTTTACAATTCGATAAGTAAAATGGACAAATAAATATTTCAATCACCAAATTTTTTATCATTTTAACAACAAATTATGGTGCTAATTTTCAAATTTTTATTCTTAATTTAGAAAATCGAAATTTAGCTAACTTCTATCCAAAGTGTCAGCTAACTGTTCTTCCTGATCATCCTATATCAAGCTATGATTATGATTTTGACTCTTAGTTATTAAGTTACTAACTCGATCAGTGGAAAAAATGTTCGAAGATGCTGAACTTAGTGGCGTATTATTGTTAACGGGTCGAAAATTGAAAGAATTCCCGGCTCACCTTGCCCAAAAATATGAAATATCTGATATTGTTTCTGTTGGTATGTTTAGTTTGAAATTCGTTCGGGGAGCTTCTTCTTCAGAATATCTCAAAAGTTATCAATTTATCTCAACAAGACTGATATCATTTCTTGTCATAATTCATTAATTTATTCTTATCTTTTCTCAAAGTATGCAAAAATTACTCAGTTGCTAATTCTATGAAATATTTACTCTTAAGTACTCGAGGGAATTTATTGATTTACTTTTAACTTTTCGCAAAGTAATCAAAAAAGATTGCTCACTTTGCTAATTCTACAGAACTATTATGTATCGAAATTTTTCTCAAATTTTCGCAATTGCGATTTATATTATAATTCAATTAATAGTTTGCGAATAGAATATTGATTTCTGCTCCAGAAATTTAGAATATTGATTTTTTAATAAAATATTGATATTCATTTGAATTTTTTTCATTATTTTCAAGTTTTTTGAGTATTTTTCACTGCATCAAAATGTCATACTAAAAAGATCAACAAAAATTGGCAAAACAATAATAAGTATAAAATGAGCAAAATTTCGTAGACTCTCATGCAAATGTATTCAAATGCCAGAATTTAGATTCAAAAATTCACTGTTTTGTATTTTGGATTGGCTAGGATGAATTTATAGCTAAAAAAGAGAGAGCAAATTATTTAGTTACTGAAAAATAAATTAAAAACTTTCGAAAATTGCAAAAATAAATAGATCTTGAGCTGGCAAGTATACTGCACATACACTGGACAACTGTTTGAACTATTGTTAAGCTTTTAGCTTTCCACTTTTAGCCTCACAAAATCTCTGAGGAAAAAGAGAGTGAATGGCTAGCAAATTATTATTTATTTAAAAACATTAATCATATTTAAATATTTAAGATATAACAGTAGAAAACATAATTCATCCCACTGACTTATTCAAAGATATTTAGAGCATAAACAAATTTTTTGTGTTTTAACAAATTTATTTATTTTTTAATTCAATATATACTTTCTACTTGCTTGAAATTTAAGGCTCTGACACAATAATTATATCTCTTAACATCAAATTCTAATTTAGATTTGAATTTTATGTACTTCTGTATTAATTTAGATTTCAGATTTCTTTATCATTCTGAGATGATACTAGAGCACATACTTGGTGGCTTAGTACGCTACTTTTGTTTTGGTAACTGAAGACTCTTTAATTTAACTTACATCAAGCTAATCTCAAACTAAGATGCAATATTTGCAAGCCCTGAAGAAAAGGAAAAGCTGAACTTGCATAAGTTGGCAGTTAAGCGTAAATGAGTTACAAGTTATGATGTACTATATATTAATATTTATGATATGCTCAGTTAAGTTTCAATTTTTAAGATCTCAGTGAAAATCGTTTTGTGAATTTTCCAATGTGCATCTGTGAAATGCGTTCACTGGAAACGCTGAGGATACGTAATACGGGTTTACGCTCAATTCCCTCGGCTGTACAGTTACTTCAGTCGCTTACTTATCTTGATCTAAGGTTAGATTTTTAAATTTAAATTACTTAACGGTCAGCAATTATTAGGAGTATAATAACTTGTTCAAAATCCTTATATTTTTATGTGATCAAACTTAAAGACACTTGAAAATATTTTTGTCGTCAGATACAAAGTAATTTTAAATATTTAGATTAACTTCGGCATTCAAATACAGAAAGCAGTAAATATGTCTGATTAATTTCAATTATATTCAAAATAGAAATAATGGCCAGATGGTCCTTTTTACCTTTGTGCAGCTGCAAATTTACTCGTATTCAAATTTTTGTAATGATTTATTTATCTCTGTTTGAATCTCATTCATTTATTAGCGAGGGTAAAAAACCTTTTATGTATTTCAACCAGAAATTTTGATCGAAACCTTAGATGATCAATTTATTTTCCTAAAATAATTAATAACTTTTCTACAAATCTGTAAATTTTGTTCAAAAATTTGTAATTTGATTGAAAATTACAATTCGAGGAGGAAAAATCAAATCAAAAATAATTTCGAAAAATAAATTATTAAAAAATTTTGAAACGGAAAGATTTTTTGAATTATTTAGCTTTAAAATTGAAATTAGACTTTAACAGACATAATAACTGCAACGATTGCTATTATTATTCAGATTTTTGATAGTAAGATGGCATTATAATGCTCAAGTACTTAGAATATTGCAAGCACTCTAATAATAAATCTTTCAAGACGGTAATTTGCGCATTTTGCACTATATAGTTATTACAGAAGTAGTTATATTTGTAATGTATATATTGATACCTTATCCTGTGTATAAAATTACTCTATAATTACCGATTTACTGATGTAATGCAGTATAAAATTACTCTGTATTTATCGATTTAATGATATAATGCAATATTGCATTATAGGATGGATATCGAGTACTATAAATACAACAGTAATCAAAATGACTAAAAATATCTTAAATATGGTTGCTTACTATCAGCTTTATCATTATTCTTTAATTTTTAGTAATAAATGTGGCAGTGATTGAAAATTGTCATTCAGTAAACTCCAATTGAAATCAGTTTTAATAATAAATTCATACTAATACTAAAAAGTTTATTCAAACATTTATTCGTCATTTTTAAGTGGTAATCAACTGATGAACATCCCAGCAGCTTTATTTACGGTGCCTCTAGAAATTTTGCTGTTAACGGGTAATCGTCTGGAATCTATTCCTCGAGAAATTCGACAACTTTCCAATTCAATACGAGAATTGGTATTATTACATCAAATATTGATTTAATGTTTACTATGTTATTATATTTAATATTGTTTCAATGTTTACTATTTGTTAAACAGTTTGTTGTTTGAAACAGTTGGCAGATTTAATAGCTAATATTTGGGCTGCAATTATGATTTGTATCAAATAAATTGCAGTCAATTTCAAAATTTGTAACTTTATTTATTTTAGCTGGATCTGATTTTTTAATTCAGATGAAATTGATTTTAAGTTAAAGACAAGTTTAAAGTTAAAGTTGTTTATAAAATTTAAATAATCAGTTTATTCATTTGTTATGATTTTTATTTCTGTGTTTGAAATAAACAACTGACTTAGTTTTGGTATTGCTAGGATATAAGCTATAATAAATTGACCAGTTTGCCAGCTGATATTGGCTTGCTAAAATCACTTCGAGTGCTCAATGTTCGAGATAATCAACTAACTCAGTTACCTTCAGGTTGAATTCACAGTTTTTATACAATTTTTAAGGAGAAAAACAAGTCATAAATATAATTAAAAAATAATATTTCCATTATTATTTGTTAATAATTTTTTAAATTTGAGCGAAAATTTCGTATTAAATTTTGTTTGAAATAACTGACATAGTCTGCTGTATTTATTATTTCCAAAATATAAAAGTACTCTTATATTCTAAAAATTACATATTACTAATACTTGTTAATTTCCAAAAATCTTTCTAATTAATTTTAAATAATTTATATAGTTTAATTGATTCTATTAATTGATCAAAAATTTTTGAAAGGGTTAAAATTTGTTAGATACAGAAATTATAATTAAATTAATAGAATATTAATTATATATCAGTACTTAGTTCATACTTTGATCACATTGAATTATCAACTATAGATTATATATAAAGTTTTTTAAGCAAAAAAATGTTCGGAATAAAAAGGTATAATGAAGTTTGTCCACAGATAATATTAAGTTTGGCATGAATTTTTTCTAAAATAATTCTTGAATTATCTATCTTTTCTGCCAATTCAAAATAAAATATATACAATTTTTTTGAATGCATTTTGCTAATACTTTTGCAATTTCATTTTTAAGTATTCTTTTTGGCTGATATTTTTATTGTAGCTTTAAGCTTTGTTAAATATTACTAATGAAACAAAAAATTGCGTAGATAGCCTTAAGGATAAGAATTGAGATGAATAGCCGAGTAGGCCCTTGGCTAAGCTTTGTTAGAATTTAGTCTCCCAAAAAGCAAAGAATACAATTTGTATGCAAATTAATTCATTTCACAGACAAAATGTACATTTTAATTCGAGGGCTCATTTTTGCTTTCAATTTTTTTATTGGCTATTTTATTTTTTCTAATTTCATTGGAATATTTTTTAAATCAGTTAATCAAAATTTACTAGATATTGTTTTTTTTACTTTATTTGACTTCAGCTTTTCTTAGTCTATTAGCAATCTCAATTTATTTCTAATTATTATATTCATTACTTTTTATTTCTCACCTGAAGACTTTGGGATTAGATTGAAAAAAGACATCAGACTTCAATAAACAAAGTAGTAATTTAATTTTCATAAATGTACTCAGTTATATCTGTGAAAAGTGTTTTGAAGTTTGTAAAAACAAAATTTGTGTCATTAAGTCAAAAAATTCTTACTGTTAATAAAAAGTTGTGGCATTTTTTCCAGCAGAAAAGAAATAAAATTTTTGAAAATGATTTTTTAATCCTTTTATTAATGGAAAATAATAATTTACAAAAATTGCGTATTAATATTATGACTTAAAAAAGCAAATTATTCCAGTCTATCATTGATAAATTCTTCAAATTAATGATTCGAAGAAAATGAAGATTTTAATATGATTTTGTGTTCTTTTTCTGTTTTCAGTAATTTTTGATATTGATATTATATGTTCAATGTTTTAGAAATTTCTCGGTTAGAATTACGAATATTAGATATATCGCAAAATGAACTCAGTGAATTACCATCGGATTTACGCTTTATGAGTACGATGGTGGATTTGCGCATCGACGCTAATCCGCTTAAACGACCACCTATCAAACTTTGTCAAAAGGTTCATTCTTTCATTAAAAGTATTGTTTGAAAATGTGGAAATGTTGATCACGTGTAAAAGTGTATTACAATAATTGATGTAACAGAAAGTTAAGTGAAGGTTTCAGTTTATTATTATCAAATTTTTGCATAACATTTACTTTGCATGAGATAAGTAAAATTTACAATTTATTGTGGTAAATTAATAAATAATTATGCAAATTCTTTTGGAAAATTGTATGAAGCAATTGTTATCATTAAAACAAATAAAAATACATAATATATCTGTCAAAAGATGAATATTTAATATTAAATCAAATATTTTTATTTTTTACTTTTAGCGAAAGAATCCAGTCTATGCAATTTGTTCTACTATCTTTACTTATTTTGATTAAAGCATTATAAAAAGCTTGTGATAAGTCTATTGCAGGAAATTTGTTAGCTTCTGATTCATTTTGCTTTACGAATATTATTATGAGATGATCAGTAACTTTTTTTTTGCTCGTGTTAAATCAAATTTTATAATGGAAATATATCGTTAATAAACATTATCTTTATAAAAATCATTTTTTAGATTTTCCGAAACTAATTTGGTAGAAATTAATTTTATGACTTTGTTTAGTGTCCATAGTAGCAAAAAGGTGGAAATTATAATTTTTTGCTAGCTGTCAAATTTATTGAGAATCAGAATTAAAATTAAAATCATTTCTCAAATTAAGATCAGTAAGTTATTATTTGTTAACAATTTATGATTTAGATACATTAAATAAAGTTATTAATTTATAATTTGGCTATCACATATTAATCTTAAGTACTGATGTAGAAGATCTGTATCTAAAAAATAGTACAAAATTAGGGTCAAATATGAGTGGATTTAGAATTGAACTACAGTATCCTAACATTGTAGTTATGTGTTTGTCATTTTTATCACCAAATGTTTCCGTATAATTAATTAATAAGCAGTTATGATTGTTATTTATGTAATCAGAATTTTTATGCAATAAAGACATCATTCATTAATGATAAATGAAAAAGATTTTAATGAGTTAACATCCAGATAACATCTGTTGATACTAAGTAATGAAGTATGTTTTGGATATTATTTCAAGATAATATTGTAATTTTGATCTCATCTGAATGCAAAACGTTATTTCAGGGTCGTGAACATGTTTTCAAGTGGTTGAGATCACATGCAGAACATACGTCTGAAATTGTTTCAGAAAATGATCAAATATTTAAACGGCCGTCCACTTTTAATGCAACTTTCAGAAGAGGGTAGCAGTAAATTTTGTCAACTTTTGATTGTTATAGAAATGCGTGTCATAATTCAGTCCTTCACGTAATTGAGGTAGAAGGAAAATTACCATTTTACAATTAAGAGTAATTTTTTTGGTAGCAAGCAATTTGCGTATTTCCGACAAAAACTTTATCAGGTTGGGTATTCATGGAAATCAGAAAAAAAATCTTTGTAATAATTGTGGTTGTGAGTAAAGATATTCCAGGATTATTTGGTGTAAGTGAATGGAACACTTATGCATAATTTAGCATCACTTTTAATTTGTTTTATGATTAAATATGCAGTTAACATATTTAATAGTTTACTAGACGAAATGTTAATTAAATTGAATATGTAATTTCAGCGCTGAGAATATGATTGATGGAAAACGTATGGAGAGGCGTTCTCGTACTGCACGTTTTAATACCGTTAGCGGCAATGAATCAAATTATATATCAACCTTTGATAGTAATCGTTTTTCTCGTGAAGTAAGTTTATACAAAATGTATTAATATTATGATTCGTAATAGCGAAATTTGTCATTTGATTACTTAAGTTTTCGCAAATTTTAGCAACAAAAAGTAGCATCACCAGCTGGTTGCTTATTTGATATTGATGAACGTTGTCAATTGCACTGCCATGAACAGCAACGGAATCCCGTAACTGTATGCTCTAATTACAATACTGCTGATGGTATAACTGCGCCTAAATCAGTTAATGAAATTGTTACTGATAAGAGTGCTGCTGGCGGGGAATTGCTGCAAGAAATAATGCAAGCTTATGATCAGAAGGTTAAATTTCATGCTTTTCCTTCCTTTTAGCTCTGAAAGTTCCATTTTTCACTTTTGAGCTTTTGTTTATTCTTTCATTTGAATACTAAGTAGTAGTTTCACTCTACAACAATAATATATTTTGAAGAATAAATAATTCTGTGTAATAATATGCACATTTGAAAATAAATAATGCTTTTGCTTGGCACACACAAATTCAATCTATGTAACAGATTGCAAAGCCATTACTTTAGATGTTCTTTCAAATATATGCATATTGTATGAGATAAAACTCTTTAGTATGGCAATATCAATAGGTAACCGGGGTTTCTCATTTACTCATAGATTCTCTCACTTATAAGTTCAGTCTTACTTCCCTCAGAAGTTCAGACTGGGAAATTCTAGAAGCAATCTTAAAAAAGTGTAAAAAATTCTTACTGCGCGACTTATTTGCTTGAATCATCTAATTTTGCCATTTATTTCTCTTCTTACTTTGTATTTGACTTATTAAAATCTATTCAAATCACAGGAGCGAGGGTTTAGATTAATCTGAATATTTTTCTAATATAAATATGACTAAATATGCATTTTATGGTTGTAATTTTATATCAAAATTTCAAGAATGTTTATGTCCAAAATATATTAATCTAATCGATCATAAAATGCTTGCTAATTGTTTACTCGAATTTTAGGAATGATATAATTATGCAAGAAATGATAATATTCACCTAAAATAAGTCTTTTATCCTTACCACTATCATTATTATTATTATTATTGTCACTTTTGCAATTTTTTGAAGCTGTTTGGGGTAAGTCAAAATAGAACAAATGCATGGCTTGCTTGAGTAGCTGCTCTCAAACTTTGTTTTTGCTATATATTTTGCTCGAAAACAAAATTAAGTTTCTGTTTATGGTAATTGATGAATAGATATATAGTGTTTAACAATGTCTGGAAAGATATAAATTCCAATTCTAATATTTACTTGTCATTATTTTCATTATCACAGCGATACTTTAGTATTAATTGATTAATTAATTAATTAATTAATATTATTATCATTATTATCTCAACGATGAAATTTCGCCAAAGTTATAATAACACTTAATAACAAACATCCTTAATCACTTATCATGATAAGATGGTGATAAGAATATAAAAAAGGACAAAAGTAATGAGGCACGCAGTCCATAATTTCTGCACTTTGTTAGATTTATTAATTACTAATTTTTTACTTTTTATCAACTTATGTTTCATTAAATATTAATTAACTTATTTATTCTTAATTTAATTAAATCAGCTTATGGTTAATACGAACTTTTATTACTGATTGATTGGCTTCTGTTTTCGAAAAGACATTAAGATTTTGGTGCCATCTTATTGTTCATCGAGGTTTGTTGGAAACTTCTGGAAATATGATAGTATACTGAGGGGTAAAACGATGAGTAATTAATTGTATATGAGATGTTTTTAAAATGGTAGAGAAACAAATGGATAATCTCTTTCACAGCCAGTCACTACAATGAATTTTTTTAGATTCAAAAAAATTTGTAATTAATTTTATTTTCAAAAATTAATATTTTTCTTGATTTGAAAATTGAAAAAATTTTTTAACTGGAAATCTAAATGATTTGAATTTTAATTTTTCAATAAAGTTTCAGGTCAGTGCTAGTAGTGTTTCTCAACAAGCATCTCGTCTGCCTCATTCATCAACATCTGAGTACCATACTTCAACCGAACTGGCTTTACTGTTTCCATGTAGCAGTACTATCTCTTCCACAGTCATTACTCCCACAACAAATTCATGTTTGTCTTCTACGGGACAAAGACCTCAAGCTATCGTACCTCCAATGATTACCATTACTGAACAATTTGCAGCTATTTCTTTAGGTCGGTTATTGTATAAAATTATATACATCAGTATTGCAGTAACTTGGGTCAGTTACTGTATTCCTGATGTGTAAATCACCTCATACCTTTATTACAATTTAACTCAATTTTTTTGCTACAGTATAACGAGAAGTGAATTTGCCACAAACCTTTCCAATTGCAAAAATTGAATGACAATTAATTTACTGTCAAATATTATTGATTGGTTTGTTAAACTAATATTTGAAATGAATGCTTTAAAATTTGGCATTATTAGTTTTAGTTTATTTATATGTGTCAAACCTTTAATATAGTGATTAAATTTTTGCATTTCAGTAATAATTTTAATTTATATGGTAATTTACCATCTATTTTAGAGGATGATGTGAAGAAATGTCTGGGACAAAATAATAAGCAATCTGTTATCGATAATAATAATACTTATGGATGGAAACCGATATCAAATAATCATGAATATAATCAGTGCTCCTTGATTAATTGTCATAGTACAATTAATGATAGTGGTACCACTAAAACAAGCTCAGATGCTAACGTTATGAATTGTACCAGTAATATTATAAACAATAACGCCATGAATACAGCGTATGCCGCAGATGGTGTGATCAAAATGATAGATGATTTATCTACAACTGTTACAGATTCAGATTCTGTAATTGTTACAAACTTAGAAAACGCTTCTAAACGTAGTCTGGAACTTCCTTCAACTATTAGAAATCAACAGATTTTATTGCCTGTTTTGGAAAATTTGAATCCATCAGGTTCTTGTCATTCGCAGTAACTCAGTTTCTTCTCATTATTATCATATAATTAAGAGTAAATTCAGGAATATAATTACGTGCGTGAAAATAGTGGCATTGCTGACTATATGAGTTAAGTATTAATTACATAAGTGTAGAAAAATGATTTAATAGTAGTCAAAATAATTTAATAATAATTAATAATTCCAGCAGAGTTATTTTTAATTAAGGCTAGTTTCTAGTGACCCTCAAATAAGATGAACAGAATTTATATTTTTGTGGTTTTTTTTAATTTAAAATTTTTATGCAAAGATATATGCATTATATTCAGATCGATGTTTATCTTCCGAATGATTAAAAATGTTCAAACATTTGCTAATATTCAATTTGCATATTACATTTTAAAATATAGGAAATAATAAATATTCTAATTGAATAAAATTATAGATAACAGTAGTGATCACAATTTAGCAAGTACCACTGTTTCAACAGTTGCATACATCTCGTCATTAACTGCTGACACGAGTGCTTCTGAAACAACAACTTGTTCAATTGCGTCTTCAGATGCTGTGATATCTTCTGTAAAAGTGAGTCTCTCTATGGATAATTATTGATAAATTCATTTTTTAATTAGTAATGTGTATTTTATCATTCTTTGTTTTGTGATTATGAATAACTATTGACTAATTTGAATACTTGTCTGTTTGTATTTGAAGCTATTTACAGTTTTACAGTATGGTTTAAAGACAAATTAATCATTCTTCAGTATTGAATCGGGATTATTTACTGTAATCACTGCAATTCATTTATTATTATCGTAATTAAAAGTTTTCTTCATTAAAAATAACAAATTTTCAAATTTCAGGTGCCACTGGTTTCTGTTAAAAATGCACATGTATCAGCTTCAAACAAATCCTCGTGTTCTTCACGTTCATCAGCATCAAATCAGCCTTCAACATCCAGTCAAAATGTCACTGCTAAACTTCATGCTACACGATCTATACGTTCTTCAAGTTCTCGTGTAAATGGCATTGTATCGTCAACAACAAGTTAGTTTTTAACTTTTTGGATTTAAGTTTGAACAAATGAGTAGAAGGATTTAATGAATTTTTTGTGACATTTGATGTTTCTGAGAAGAAAAGAATATCTTTCAGTCATAAATTTCTTTAAAATCTTAATAAAGTGTAAGGATTTTTTTTGCATGAAAATTTCATCAGTTATAGAATATATAAACCGGAGTGGATCAGGTCAGGCTCCTCGAACGAAGTCAAGTCATTCACCAAGAATTAGCACCAAAATCTCATATTCGACTTCTACAAACAATTCTGGCATTGTAGAAAATATGCGTAAAGTAAGTTCCACTTAGAAATCTAATTTTTTAAAAGGTTTGATAAATTATAAGTTAGATAGAAAAATCATTGCAATCATTTTCATGTTGTTTAGTAAATAAATATTGGATTCCTTAAAGTAATAGCTATTCATTTCTGATTCTATAGTTCAAAAAAGTAACTGTAATAACGATACATGCAAGTATGCGCAGCAATAACTTTTAACAGCTTGAATAATTATAATCACAAATTTGTATTATTTCCTTGATATCATTAATTAATTACACATTAAATTTGAATTTTGAAAATTACAACTTCTGACATTTCTCTTTTACTTTAGATTGTTTTTTTTCTATTTTTTATTAATTTCATTTTATTTTCTAGTTTTTATTAATTTCACATAATTACTCTTACTTAGGTAATTGAAGATCGTCTCAATCTAACGCTTCCCTCAGACCGATCTCAGTTAGCAGCTTCATTATCTGATGGCGTTAAGCTGTGTAACTTTGCTAATCAGATTCGAACGAAAGCTGTAAGTAGTCTGTTCACGCCAGTGGCAAAAGATGTTAGTGAAGTTTAATTTCGGATAAAATATGTGAAATCATTGCTAAATTTTGATCTATTATTTGGTTATCAAATTGGATTAAGTATATTTGTATTTGTTGTAGTAAACTCACTGAAATCTTTGTTTACCTTCAACTCTTTGCTTACTTTTTATTCAAGTTCTGTTCTCAAACAGAAATGGTGATAAAACTTTATTGAAACAATTACTAGTTTTATTTTATGCTAATTTTCGAAAAATTATGTCTGTAAGAAAGTAAAATAACTTAGATTTATTGATTTTAATTGAAGGAATTAAAAAGTTTGTGATTATTAAAAAATTGCAGATATTTTAATTTTGTGAAAATTGGAAATTTATTGGTGTTGTAAATTGACAAACAAATTATCAATTTTTTATTTAATTCTTCGGCTTTATATTCCTTTTTAAAACTATAACATAAATAATGCTGTGTGTTTTCCATATTTACAGCTACAGTTATCGCCACCAAAATGTAGGCGAAATGTTGATAATTTTTTGGCTGCTTGTCGGCGAATTGGCGTTCCTGAGGTAAATTTTTCAAACTTTGACCTGGAATATTTTTTAGTAAATTTGTATACTAATCAAATTTTGAGATAAAAAGTGAAGGAGATCGAGTAAATTTTACTTGTGTTTATCATAGTTCATTTTTATTGGTGTTCTATTGTCGTTGCTTCATATCACTGTCACTGTGATTTTATCATTAATTTGCTGTTTTGTATATTTACTGTAAATGTTGTCAGCACCTTTGATTTTTTGCAAAAATAATTTAAAATTAGTATTACTATAAAAAGGAAAATAAGCAAAATTTTTTTATAATTTTTGTTTTCAGAAGAAAGATGCTTTTACATAGTTGAGCAAGTTTGAAATGAATAATTCCATAATGATTAAGTAAAACACGAAAACCAATCTGATCTGATCCGACCTGGTTTGATCTGATCTGATCTGCCCAAACAAAGAATTAAATTTTTATGATCAAATATTTTTTTTGCATACAAAGACGTTTTTGCATGCAACGTCAAAAATAACGCAATTTTTGTTGTCTTAGTGTTTTTCGTACGATTATTGCACGTACGATTTGAGATTTTTTATTGGAAAAAAAGGAAGGAAAAACCGAAATGAAAAAAAATTAGGCTACTGCTATTTTTTTATTTTCAAATTTTGAATATTTTTAAAATTTATTGAAATTTAGAATGGCAGAATTGTGGCACTACTGATTTTTAAAAGCCTGAAATTACTGATTAAAATATTTTTTGTAATTTTAATATCTTATTTAAAACATTAAGTATCTTTCCTCAATTTACTGATACGATTATTATTATTATTATTATTATTATTATCATTTTTATTATTACGAATTAGTATTATTTGCTTTGAAAATGCCAATGCATAATTTTTATTCACTTCATTATACTAGCACCCAAAACTTGAATTACAAACATTTTTTGTTACCTTTATATATAAATTTCAAAAAGTGCATGTAACTAACTAGGTTAATTGAAGATCTTTTTATTTGCACGATTTCAAGCTGTTTGCATTTCTAACTATATTCACTACTTTAATTCGTGTGACACGTCAAGCACATTAACACGTCTTATACGTCATATTTATTCTTAAGTTTTCAACTTTTTTATAATCTTTGGAGTGTGTTTAGACGTATATATTATTCGATACAAAATTTGCTTGCAATTGTGCATTTTGAATTTGTGAATAAGAATTTACTAAGAGTTATAGTTGGGTTTAAAACTTTGTCTTGCAGTGATAAGGCTATGGAATCAAATTAAGTTTTTCAACAAATTTAACCAGAATAATGAAGTAAAATCTAGTTATTGTCATAATAGTGAATAATATATCTTTGCAAAATTCGAGTAAATGGAAAATAAAGATCTAATCAGATCTTGATTTGAATCAAATCAATGACTTGCATGCAGTGCTTTTACAAATAATTAAATTTAATATGGATATTCTGAGGATCAAAAATTAACATTTTGGAGGATGAATGAATCGAAAATATTGGCAAAAATTATGCCGCAGAACGTTTTCAGGTAATAACGCATCAACAGCGATTACAATTTATGATAAGCGATAGGATTCTGGCCAATGCATTGCTAACAGTTTTCTTCGCCTTTATATGTTTTGCTTTAATTTATGAATTTTAGTATTCAGATTATTAGTTTGATAAGCTATTGTTACTGTATTTATCAGTTATCATTCTGCAAGTGCATCAATAATTGCATGCAAAAATTTTCATTCTTTTTGCAAAATATTTCTTTAAAAAGTATTCCAGTATAGATATTTATTAGCTAAATTTGAGCGGTTATTTGCCATAAGAATATATTTGTTGGGAATAGAATATAAACGTAATTAAATAGTAATTAATTAGTGTATAAATTTATTTTTTTGATTTTTGTTTAAGAATGTTGCGTACGTATAAGTAAAAGTGAAACGCAACGAAGCGTAGCTCATTTTCATTCTTATAAAGAATATAAAATTAATTTCATTTTGATATTTTTTCAAATTAAAAGAAATTTGATTATACAGCCAAGTATTTAAGTACTTTCGCATGACGATTTTATTACCTGTATAACTATAATTTGCATTACTTTTCAAGTATGTTTTGAATTATTAATCGAAAAGTGTTCAAATTCTGTGTGAATTTACGAATTAAATTTTTGGATTTTAACTTTGTAACTACAATTTGTGTGCTTATTCTTCTCACAACATTAATTACTAGCAATTTTTTTGTAGTTGATTTGATTGTGATACTTAATACTTCCAAGTATGGCAAGTTTGAATCTTGAAATAATTCAAGTTATTATTGATGTTATTCTACTTTTGTTTGAATACAAAATTTAAATTCCTTTCGTTCATTTTTATGCTTTTTATTATTATGAAAAATTTTTAGAAATCTGGTAATCTACAGATTTTGAACTTTCCAAAGTAAAATAAATATTATATTTTTTAAAACTAAAAAATTTATTTTATTTATCAATTAAAATAAGTAAACTGGAAGTTTCTATGTTTATTAAAGAATCATTAGATAATATTCCAACTAAAATTTAATTTCTTCACTAAATTTACTTTTACAGTTCAGAATTTTGTTTTTGTCCAATGACAAATGCAATTTTTTAAAATACTTATTTTGTACATTTAATTTTATTATCGCTTCAATGTTTGCTTGTTAATAATGCTGTTCTCAGTGTGTAAATTTAACGAATTGTTGAGAGTATTAATAAATCGCTTATAAAATTCTCATGGAATTAAAGATAAAGATTACAGATATGTTTCATACTTCTTGAATTATAAAATTGCTATTGCATATTTGTTCAAATATTTATAAAAATTTTAAAAATACATGCCAACTGCTTTTTAAATTGTTTATAATATCGCCATCAAACATCAAACAGTTTTGAAAAGCTCAAAATCTTCGAAACGAATCCATAAAATAACTTTGATCTTTGTTTTTGAGATATGCATACTTTTCTATGAATATACTCCATTATGGCAACTTTTATTTATGCATTTAAAAAGATTCTAGGATATTTCAAATAAAATTAAAAAACGAATGAAACATTCTTTTTTGTAATCAAAAAAATTTCTCTACATTTGTTTTTTAGTATTTACAAAATTATAAAATCAAAAATGGAATGATAAATTTTTAGAGTTCGTTATGTAGCGCAACTGACATATTGGAACGAAGAAATCTGCTACTGCTAGCCAAGACTGTCTTGGCTTTAAACAAGTTTGCTATTGTATCAAATAGCACTATTCGGGCAACAACAGTAACTTCAGCTACAAAAACAGCTACAGCTACAACGCTAACCCCAAAAATGTGTACTCAGTCAGTTGTGTGAAATTTTTATTTTCAAAGTTCTAAAAGAGTAATATTAAATTAGAAAATGCAATTTTAATAATTTTTCGTGGATTTTTAATAAATTATTAATTTGTAAAATTTTCCTTTCAAAAAGTGAAAAGTAATATATGCTTATTTAAAGATATAACTTGTTTTTGCTGCATTGTTTGTTAAACTATTAATTCGTAAATTTACCTTATCCAAATATGCAAAACTGTGTTGAATTTGTGTTATTTGTCAAATTTCTAAAAGGTCACAAAAGACGTCTTATTTGGGGTGTTGCAGAAGGATGGAAAGATTAAATTTAATTTATTATCAGATGCATAAAAATAATAATTAAAATTATTGCAAAAATTACACGTTTAATGAAAAGCATGAAGGTTTTTTAATCGAAAAATGTTTTGAGATTTGGCGGGATTTTAAACTTTAAGGTGACCACATTGAATTTTCAAGACATTATGTGAATTTAAAAGGAAATATTCACTAGTGTTAAGTAAAAGCAGATGTATTGCCATTCGAGTAGATAGTTCAGTTGGAAATGATATCCTGTGATGATTTTCGCTATGTCAAAGGTCACTATTTGAGAAGAATGTTTTTTTTAAATTGCTACTAGTTCTGCGAATTAACTAAAAAAAACAACTGCCTATTGAATATTGCTCTTGCCTTGCATTATTTATTTGCTCATTACATGTTTGTAATTTAAGCGTTTGCATTATGTCTCAGAATTCAATTCTGCTTGGTCATTATTGTCGTTGGCCATCTCATGAAGATAATTCCAGCGCGTGATAATTATGTATGTGCATGTTTTAATCTATTTGAGATTGCAGATTGTTGACTTTTGTGGTCAGTTAGTAGTTTTTAATTATCATATCTAACTGTATTCTTTTACATTGCCTTCCGAAGATTTCAAATAATTGATATAATATACTTATTTAGCAGTTATATGAATATATGGATGCTCTATATGGCAATATATTAAAATTTAAATAGACTATAGTTATGAGTTAGATAATTACCATAATCTTACCTCACTTTAATCAAACAAATTATCTTTTTCAGTGAAAATTAAGGTTGAAAACCATCAACGCACTGGTCACTGTTTTATCTCAGTGAACTGAAAATATAATTCTTTTGGAATAAATAAAAGTTTTTAAATAAAGAGTAAGATTTGTTTCTTGCTAAAAATTTATGTATTTGGCTTAATATTAAAGCCAGTTTTTTAAAAAACGAAATAACTTTTCACAAATACAAAAGTATCATTATTATTGCTTAGACAATAAGTGATATGAAAATTAATACACTTGATTAAGACTTTTCAGCAGATCAGAGATTAAGGAATATCTTATTAATAATTTATGCATAAGTGATAACTAATCCAAAATTATTTAAAAGCCATACTTAATTAATACTTGAGGAGTAATTTATAATTTATTCCATATTTTGGTATGTATTTTTACCAGTTACTTGTTTGATTTGCTACTTATTGCACAAATTTTCTGAATAAATTTTTATCAAATTATTACATAGTTTTTTCTTGGCTTCCTATAACTTTTATTGAATTATCATATAGGTTATCACGGTGGCGGTATACATCGATTACAGTCTTGTTTTTCAGGATTATATCCTTCAATTTGTACAGTACTTTCTATAACATTGTACTGATCACGTAACATTTGAGTTGTTCTCTTGAGTATCCAAGGAGCATTAGCGCCAGGTGCGATTTCCAGGTGTACACTGATTGCTATTTTATCAAGTGTTAATGACCAAATCCGTAAATTGTGAACTTTTTTAACACCTTCGATACATTCCAAAGAATCAAATACCGTATGAAAATTGATATTAGATGGTGAACCTGAAAATAATTTGAGTGATAATCATAATTCAAAGTCTGATAATAATTAAAAAAGTATAAGGTAATGATACAAAGTATGTTTTATCTTTACAAATTCACAAAATTATGCAAAAATTATCGAAAAATTCTTGTACATGTCATTAATAGATAATTTTTGTGATAAAAAATTTTATAACAGTTTTCAAGAGATGAATTTTGTATATTACTCTGAAAAATATTTATACCACAATAAAAAATTGTTTGTTGCAAATTATTTATTTTAATACATTGTGGAAATTTTGGTTTGCTTGTAGTCGTAAGGAAAGGTGTAAAATTTATCAGTTTTAACAAAAATTTATCCATAAATATTTTAATGGCAAGCAAATTTCTAATATTATCAACAATTAAATGACATAAAAATATCAATTTAACTAATAAATATTAATAATATTCGATAATTTTTAAGGTAAATTGATGATAGCAGCAAGCAACTTCTGAAGACTTAAAGGATAAAAGTTTCTGAATTAGATGAAAAGTTGTTACCTTCAAGAAGTACAACCATCGCATCGCGAATTATATAAATTGTCGTACAGAGAACAATTATCGAAAAAATAATTGTGCAAATAGGATCAGCTATCGACCATTTTTTCTTTAAAACAATTAATTAAAGTTGAGTTTAAGTTTTGAATTCCATTAATATTATAAAAAGTGATGAAGTGGTTTTTCTTTGTAGGCGGAAGAGAAAAATAATCAGTCTTGTGATAAAATTTTAAGATATTGAAGAAAAATTCAAATCTTGAAATTGATGAATGTTTGTTATTAATGTTGCAGAGATTTTGTAATGAAAACTTCAAATTCGTACATTCCAAATATGCAATTACATAAACGGAAGGGTTAAGAATTTAAAATTGAATAAATATGTATTTCTGTACTGAATTACTTACATTGTAGAAAATGAGTAGCGCTGCAATAAGTACGCCAACACTTTGCAATAAATCGCCAATAACGTGAATCATTGCTGCACGTACGTTAATATTTGCTTTATTATGTGAACTTGTAGCATGGGAATGACCACTATGAGAATGACTATGTCCACCAAAGTAAAGTAATGTCGCCATACTACCATTTAATTGCTTATCATCAATTAAAGTTCATCAAACTTTAAATTCGAAATAATTTCAAATTTTTGAAGCTTATCATCAAAAGTTATATTCATATTTTTCTCTGAAGTACCCTTCAGTAGATGAAAACATTGCATTCAAAATTCCAAGACTAAATGTAAATGAATTACATTGGGTATTGTCACTCATAAAAAATTAAATAAGTTTGTGAGTGATAAATTGTAATCAAAATGCTAAATAAAAAGATTTGTCTACATAAAATGTTCAAATTCATACAAGTATGAGAATTCATATGATCAGTGAATTGAAGAAAAATAGTTGAAACTTTCAAAATTTACATTAGATTGACCAAAACTCCTAAAGCAGCAGTAATTGCCATAATAGAAGCATCAATATGATATGAATTGCTGATAATGCGATCAGTAGCCATATAAACTAATATTCCAGTAATTATCCAAATCATAAATACCGAAATAAATGCACCCATCACTTCTAAATTAATTTTCTTCTATTTTTCAGCCATCAAAATAATTCGAATTTTAAAATTAAATATTTTATATTACAAAAATGATACAAAAAATGTTTGAGTTTACAAATTTACAAAAATTTTGCGTTTGCGTCATTAAATACTACTAATAATTCTTTTGAAATTTTTGAATCAAATCAATTTGATTTGATTGCTGCTAGCTATTTAATTCAAATATTAATATTACAATACTTACCAGGTCAGGTCATAACCTTTTAATTTATCAGATAGTATTTATTGTTTCTGATACTTTAAATGAATAAATATTGATACTGATTTAAAATTGATGTAAATGTTTTTAATTACCAGCACGATGCCATCCAAAGCTCATGCGTTGTGACGCTGGTCTTTTCGACATGTAAAGAGCAAAAAGTGAAACTAACATACTCGCAAAATCGGTCAACTGCAATTTAACATTTCCCTTCAAATTGATTAATTATTCATAAAAATTAAAAATTCATAAGATGTAAGTCAGCAGATTTACTCACAAGCTTAAGTTCAGAAGTTGGCATTTTAGCTGTAATATATGACCTCTTACAACCCAAAATAATTTTCATCAAATTGATTAAAAACAAGAAAGTATCAATGAAAATCATGAAGTTATATGTGTGATTCATTTAACCTAAAGATCACTTCATTTTCATTATTAAGTGATATGACAGCATTTTGGCATTTTAACTCAGAATATAATCTATGCAAAAATATGCAGGCAAATAGGTTCTAAAATTTATGTTCAAAAATCTTTTTGGTTTCAAAATCAGGATCAGTTTGTTGTAACTTATACACTTAAAGGTCACGTAAAAAATAAACGCTCAACACGTGTGTTTAACGCCTTAAATCTCTATTTTACGTAGAATAATATCAATCAACTACGTAAGGAACAGAAGTAATAAATTCGGAAACACGTTTAGAAAAAACATGCTTATCAAATATTTTCCATTACATTATGGTAGTAAATTGATCTAATATTTATTCAAGAGATAATCTGTAATATTTTTGGCGTAAATGCATGTAAAAATAAATAAAGATTTGAGCAAAAATATAAAATTCGCAGATAAATGAATGTGTTTATTCTAATATTGAAGTGCACAAAAGGTCACCAAATGTGCAGCATCTGTAACAATCGCAAGTGACTGAGCCAAATAACCTCCGATCACTTCACAGATAATAAAAATTAGACATATAACTGCAGAAGCCCAAAGGATTCTGATTGCTTGTTGATCAGTTTTAGGCTGTTCATCTTCCTCACTATGACAATGAAATTCTTCTAATTCATTATCAGTAGCTGTTGATCCGTAAGCTGGAACTTCATAAGCACTGAAATTTAAATACATAATTAATACATTTATTCAAATATTTTGGTATAATGATGTCAGTTATAAAATAATTTACTATTAATTTTTAAGATATATAAGAAATAAAATTTAGGAATAAGAATAGACTCATAAATAATCATCCCATAATGTTTACAAAATGAAGATTTTTGATCAAATGATTTAAAATCTAGCATTAAAAGTGAAACATAGAAACCACATATTAATTTTTTTTATTTTTTATACAGTAATTTTTTTAATACAGTATTAATGTAAAAAAATATAATGATTTATATCACAAACCCTAAAAAATGCGGAAAAAAATTAAAAATATCTCACATATTGCTGGTCAGAGAGAAATTTTCATCGTTCATTGCGTTGACGTTTATCTTACAATTTTTGGCTAAGAAATTATTAGCAGTGGGTCAAAAATAGCTTAACTGTAATATTGCACAATGTATATGAGAAATGTCACCATCAGATATAGTCTTTAGTTTTATCACTAACTGTTATCAGCATTTCGCTGATAATAATTGATAAGTTATTGTTTGCGTGTCACAAAGAGCAGTCGGGAGCGGTTTGAAATATACTATTACATGGTTTGCATGAAATTTTATATATGTAATCAATAATCATTAAAGCAATCAATCAATCAATCAGAAGTTCAATCAGTAGATCAATAAACTGATAAATTGGAGATAGCAGACATCTACTTGAATGATACAACAATCATTTTTTTGCTAAAATTCTTATTACTGAAATGTTTACGTTCAAATTGCTTATGACTAAGAAGCGCTAATGCGTAGAGATGTGAATATGTGACGAATGGAATTGACTAGCACCGAAAAAACTCTCAGAAGTTAAAAAAATCCCTCAGAGGTATAAGAAATGGAAAGTGAGCAGATTTCTTTTTGGTCAAGTTGTAATTTTACCAAATAAAATATGTTTCAATTTTTAAAATAAATACCAAAAATTCATTTAATTGATGATCATTTACATGTTGTCTATGCTAAGTGAATGAATTATCACAATTATTTGAACAAACGATAGATTAATCAGTTTTTAACCTTATGGTTTGAATGGTAATTTAAAATTTATAATGCCGAATACCACATATTTGACTGCTTTTTATTATCAGGGTTCAAGTGAAAGTAATCACTTGACTTTTCCTGATACTCTTCTCTAAAAATGAAAGATCCATAGTGATAATGATAAGCACATCAGCAATATCTGAATAAATTATATCAATGCATAATCAGCATTATCTCAATATCCATTCCACAAAATCTGATTTATTTTGTACAAAAAGAAATAAAACTATATAAAATTATTAATTAAACAGAATCGTTTATATAATTGCTCAGAATTATCATGACGTTGATAAACTGAATATATTGCGCAATTCATAATCTGTATGATGGATAAAAAATAAATTTGGATCACAAAAGTCAATCATTTATTTTGTATTCAGCAAGCATTCTAGCAGTGATTATAAATATTAATATTAAATGCTAATTTATCCAATAATTACTATATTTACAATTTTTTGAATCAATAATTATTGAAGAAACAATGCAAACTTTGCAGTAAAATTAATGAATTCTTTAAATTTGATAAATTACATTTTTAAATTTTCTGCAGACAGCTGATTGATCAATTATTAATGCCTTTTTACTGTTTAGTCGAAATTTGAATAATATGAGAGAAAAAAATAAATAAATTTAACGTTTTCTCTTGGAAATTTGAATAAATTATAAGAACTGTGAGCAACTGTGCGCTTTTATGCGATTCACATTGCATAAATTAATTGTATTTAGATGTTAAAATTGGAATTACTGTTGAAGACAGATGGAGAAAAAAGATCAAAACAGACTGTAAATTTGAAGTCAGATGGATGGATGGATAGATGGATAGATGGATGGATAGATGGATAGATGGATGGATAGATGGATGGATGGATGGATAGATAGATGCAAAAAGGCAATTGTATTATTGGCTTGATTATCTTCCAGATGGAAGACAGATTTGGACACACGCATACATCGCTCTATCAAATTTTTCTGTCTAAATACTACAGAAGATTACTTCCTATTTACTACTACTACTACTACTACTACCAGATGCTAAATTTACTCATTTTAAACAGTTTTACTTTTTACTTTTATCAAACTTTTTAAATTCTCATAATATCCTCATTAAAATACTGTATTTATTTAATTATAATTATTATATTTTAAGTATCCTATTATAAATTATATCTTGATTATTTCATTTTGAATATTCTATAATAATTATATTTCAAATATTCCATTTAAAAAATTAACAAATTTGGAATTTAAAATGTTATAGAATGTGCCATTAAATGGAAATGGAAAAATGCAATATCATTTCACGTGTATTTACATACAGTAAAAAAATCTTCAACATAAAATGTTGATCAGTTTATATCAGCGTTCATCTCCAAGTTTTAAAATGCCCCTAACTAAATTTGTTCTTTATGCTTAATTGTTTGCAAATTAATTAAAGAGTTACAAATTGATTAATTTATTAAATAAGAGGATTATTTAATAGAATAAATATTTAATATCTTTTGTTCATTTTTTTCGAAATAACTTCTATTGAATAAAAAAATTTGCGTGATTTGTTTTTTGTTGCTTAAGTTAAATGTGCTATATTTTTGAGCATTTTTTAAAATGTAAATTTTTAAAATTCAAATATCATAAGAATCAATTTTTGTTGTTATGAAAATTTGAATATTAAAATGTATAATTTTTTGACATATTACAAATTAAAAAAATTAAAAAAGTAATTGTTATTTTTGAAATTTGTTTTGTTATATTATGATTTTACGTATAGTCACGTAGTTATTATCATATTATTGTACAGTTTGTTGTTAGAACCGAACATAATTGGTAGCAAAACCAGAATTTTTGTATTGTCTGACTTGCTAACTGCTAATTTATTCAAAACTTCGTTAATTAACTATTTTTTAAATGTGATACTTTGAATAAATTTAAATTAATTAAGTACTAGTATTGTTGCAAAAGAAATGAAATACTAGAGATATTTTATATTATGTTTGCATTATTGTTTCATATTTCTGCCTGCGTCTTCCTGAAAATATTTGCTCTAAACTTTTTTGTGAAAATTTATTCTAGCATTATGATTATGCTTGTTTTTGATAAGGAATAGTTTTAGTTCTTATTTTATATCATTCTATTTATTACGCACAATTTTTAATAATTATGCATTCTGTAAATGCTCTTCTTATCATTATTAACATTGATGTAGTTAATTAATCTTAATATTAGCAATGTTATTATTAATCTCATTAATATTATAGCTCTTATCAATACTACTGCTATTTCCAACTACTACCACTACAAATGTATGTTTTTTTGTCAAGTTATGCTAATTATTTGAAAAATTAAGCGATTTCTTTTTTCGCTAATTGCTGCGAATTATGAATGGTAGGTTCAAAGGCTTGTGCGTTGAATGTCATTCATTAATTATTATTGTTAGTTATGATAAATGAGGTCAACTGCGTCACGCTCAAAACAACTTTTATTATACTTGTAATTGCTATTGGCATAGAAGTAACCGACAGAGTAAAACTGATAACGATCGAATGCAAGTAGGCAAAGCTTTCATGAGAAGCATATTTAATTTGCTAATTGTTGAAAGCCAAACGATTAATGAATGTGAAAATTAGTTGCGATAGAAGTGCGGGAATATTGATTGTTTTTGCGGGAGTTTTACTAATATTCAAATCTTTATTTTTGGTAAAATTGTACATATTTATGGCCATTTTTGAAATTGATAACTACTGAAAATTTTGAGCACCTTATTCTTATTATTATTACCATTATTAATTATTTTTTGTCATTAATTGTTACTTTTGTTATTATTATTGTTATTGCAATTCGATAATTTCCATATTTTGTTTAGTAATAATAATAATGATAATGATAATAATAGCGATAATAATAAGAATAACAATAACAGAAGTAGTATTATTAAATTTCCTGCTGAAACATAGCTAAATGTGATAATATATAATTTAAACGAAATAAAATAATAAGGTTGTGTCATTTTAATAAATTTATTTGCATTTAAATTTGAGATATTTAACTAAGAAATCTGATCATGCTGCTGTATACCAACAAATGTAACTGTTACAGAAGCGTAATAATCGATACTGTTTGGTATTTGTGTAATACAAGAAAGTGTTATATTATCATAATCAAAACATCTCAAATGATAAACAAATTTACGGTATGTCTACAAATTATTTACTTAAAATATTATTATTTATATATCTCAATTTATGGTTACTTGTTTGCTTGACAAAAGTGAAATGAAAATAAAACGAAAAAGTTCAAAGGTTAGTTGTGCTACCATTTTCGCTTACAGCAGTTTTCTTATGTCAACAGTAATCTAATTCAAGAAAATATTTTGTGTATTATTTTAAAGCTTTTGAGGTGAAGACAAATTACAAATATATTTATGCAATATAAGAAGCTGCTTTATAGAATTTTAACATAATTATTATAGTATGAAAATTAATACAGCTATTTCGTTGACGTTCATATTTTAGTATCAAAATTTTATCATTTTACTGGCAAATTTTAACACTTTTTAACACTCATCACAGGTTTCTCTGTAAATACATTGCCCAGAATCATTCAGAGAATTTTATTTTGCTAAAATGTAAGTATATATTTATAAAATTTAAGTCATAATATTAAAAAAATGAATATTTCTAAGCAGTTCTTTGTGTTGTCATTCGCAACATTCGTTATCACTTTCTAAAATGACCACTACTTTTTCAAATTCCGGACATAATGGTCATACTTTGAATTCTTAATTACTGGATCAACTAATCAGTCAAATTTTGCTATAAAAATAATTTAAGAGATTATGTGCCATCATAATGTACAGAAGTTTTGTAAAATGACTGCACAGTTCCATACATTTAAAAATGTCTAATTTTTAATTCGTGCTTGGAATAACTTAATTAA